GCTAGAGGTTGAGCTGATGCGCGGCGTATCGGACCGCAAACGGCCACAGGAAATGGGGAGCAGCCGCATGGATCATGGAGGTACGAGCAACCTCCATGATTAGGCCAATGCGACGCTCAGCGATCCCATTTTGCTGCGGAGAGGCCGGAAGCGTGAACGACTGGGCGATGCCCTCATCCTCGCAGAACGTCTCAAGGACGCCAGAGGAGAACTCACCACCCCTGTCAGAGTGCAGACGCAGGACTGGAAAGTCCCGCCGAAACCGCTCGCGCAGCTGGTGACGAGTAGCACGGATCCAGGGGATCAAGACACCACTGACATCCGCCTTGCGCCGCAAGGGGAAGACTGTGGTGTAGCGTGTGTAGTCGTCAACCACCAGCAGGAATTAGCGCTCCTGGTCCGTTCCACCGACGGGGGCCGGGCCCCACACGTCCATGTGGAGAGTCTGCAGAGGAGCAGTGGTCAGAGGAAACTCGGAGGAGTGAGGAGCGGCGCGCTGCCGCCCCTCGACGCAAGGAAGGCACGGCGGCGCAAGTGAGCGCGGGAGGGGGGGCAGGGTCTCAGGGAGGCCAGTGACCAGGAGCCGGGAGTGCATGCGGCGCAGACGCTGGAGGGAGGGGTGACCAAGACGGTGGTGCCAGCGCTGAGTCTCGTGCGTGAGTACTCGGCACGAGCAAGACGCGGCTAACTGCCCTGACGCAGACGCTCGACTCGACGTAGCTACCTGACCTGACTCAGCCACCTGTGCAGACGCAGTGGTCAGTGTGTACAGACTAGACCCAGGCTGTCGAGTGAATGTAGCCAGGTGACGGCCAGTCCGGGAGCACGTACAGATCGCCACACGCTGCCCTCCAGGAATAAAGGTATCAACCCAGACATCCTGAATGGCAGCGTTGCTCACCAAGTTCGTCGAGAACGTGGGGAGGTGGAGACCTAACAAAGAGCCGGAGGGGACTGCTGGACAAGGGAGGACCGTGGAGGCTCTCGCAACCACTGGGCCCCCAGAGGGGTCAGCCAGTGAGACTGGGACAGGTGCTGTGAGTGGTGTGACTGTGGTGCAATCACGGAAGAAGCAACGTGACGCGCCGGAGTCAAGCGTGAAAGTGTGCAAGACCTCAGCTGAGGCAGGACCTGTGGTAGTAGACGCACTAGCAACTAGAGCGTCGGTAGACTCACGGGCACCTAGAGCTGCAGCAGACTCACTAGCACCTGGAGTGGCAGCAGACTGACTAACACCTGGAGTGGCAACAGACTCACTAACACCAAGAGCAGCGGTCTTAACAGAACGATAACCTCCACCACCAGGACGACCTCGCTGAATAACCCACTCACGAAGCTGCCGAGGGGTGGGGTCGTCCGGGAGAAGCAGTGCCCGCTGCTGTCCACCCCTGGCCGCAGCGACTGCCGCGGAAGTGGCCATGACAGACAGTGACTGTCAGGAGTAGGTCCAGCACCTCCAGCTCCTACAGCGCCAGCAGCACCTCTTGCACTCCCAGCAGCACCTCCTCCACTCCCAGTAGCACAAGTAGCAGCAGCAGCAGTAGTAACAGCAGCAGGGCGGTTCGGTGGGGGTGGGAGGCCGCACCTCCACCACTCCCAGCAGTACTCCCTCCAGTAGCAGCAGTAGCAGGGCGGCTCAGGCAGCAGCAGCAGACCGAGCAGCAGCAGCAGCAGCAGCAATAGACCGAGTAGCACTAGTTGTAGCAGTAGTAGTTGCAGTAGCAGCAGCAGTGACAGCTCGGGCTGGGCGGCGCGGCTCGGACACAGTGGCAGAGCAGCAGTAGCACTAGCTGTAGCAAGTGCAGTAGTAGGAGCTGCAGCAGTAGCACTAGCTGTAGCAAGTGAAGTAGTAGGAGCTGCAGCAGTAGCACTAGCTGTAGCAGCAGTAGCTTCAGTCAAGCAGCAGTAGTTTCAGTCAGGAGCAGCTGTAGCAAGTGCTGGAGTAGGAGCTGCAGCAGTAGCACTAGCTGTAGCAAGTGAAGTAGTAGGAGCTGCAGTAGTAGTACTAGCTGTAGCAGCAGTAGCTTCAGTCAGGAGCAGCTGCAGTAAGTGCTGGAGTAGGAGCTGCAGCAGTAGCACTAGCTGTAGCTGGAGTAGCTTCAGTCAATAGTAGCTGTAGCAAGTGCTGGAGTAGGAGCTGCAGTAGTAGCACTAGCTGTAGCAAGTGCTGGAGTAGGAGCTGCAGCAGTAGCACTAGCTGTAGCAAGTGCTGGAGTAGGAGCTGCAGCAGTAGCACTAGCTGGAGCAGCCGTAGCTTCAGTCAGTAGCAGCTGTAGCAAGTGCCGTAGTAGCAGCAGCACTAGCTGTAGCAGCACTAGCTTCAGTAGCAGCAGCAGTGAGTAGCGCTAGCTGTAGTAGCAGTAGCAAGGAGGAGCAGCTGCAGCAAGTAGCAGCAGCAGCAGCAAGGAGGAGTAGCTGCAGCAAGTAGCAGCAGCAGTTGCAGGGCAGTACAGGCGGCAGCAGCACTGCAGCAGCAGTTCAGGCGCAGTAGTGTAGCAGCAGCAGCGAGTGCAGCAGTAACACGGGCCGCGTGCGGGCCAGGCGCGGGCTGTAAGGGCTGCGTGCGGGCCTGGCGCGGGCTTTACGAGCTGGGTGCGGGCCTGACGTGGGCTGTACAGGCTGCGCGACGGCCTGGCGCGGGCTGTACGGGCTTCGCGACGGGCCTACGCAGGCTGTACGGGCTTCGCGACGGGCCTACCCGGGCTGTACGTGCTACGCGACAGGCCTACGCGGGCTGTACTGGCGGTCAAGGGGGGTCGCACGTGACTAGGAAGAGAAATCGCGTGTAGGGCAGAAAGAATAAACCGTCTCGCCTAGGGCACGGTTTCGCATTTCGCTTTTCTCCTAGGGGCGCGACTCAGGCAGCAGATCGAATAAGTAGTGGTGGGCCCTTTTAAACATTCGGTCCTAAGGAGCATTGTGCTCTTAATACCATGTTAGAACTTCTAGCTAGGTGATGAATGTCGATTAGGTAAGGGAGGAGGGTACAAGACTATCGAGAGTGAGAAGTTGTACCCTCTAAGGAAAGAACCCTACACAACCTAGAGTAACATGAACAAACAAGTATGTTTTGACACTTTATACCTGCGTGTTTTCTCTTGCTAGGTTGTGATCAGTGTACTGCCTTGCTATTATATACCTCTGCATGTGCACTGGCCTTGTGGCCACTTGCTTGTGCTCAGAATGCGTGGTGACTTTGTGATCCACCCTGAGCTGTGTTCTCTTCTGCAGACTGGTCTTGTGACCGCTTGTTGTGTTTGCTGTCCCCTACTTTGCCTATGGGGGTGTGTCAGATTACAATTGTATCTCTAGGCTACAGTAGGGTCACTCCTTAGTGAGTACAACACTTTAGGGTTAGGTTTCCCCTACTTGTACTCACCTCTTGCCTAGTTCAATTATTTTCATTCCTAGTTTGATTCTGACATATAAACCCTTGTACCGCATTGTAATAGTCACTTCTGTCGAGATTCAAATCTCCTTCTACTGACAGAGTCCGTACCCGACATTACCGAGCAATCTTCCGCTGCTACACTCCGTGCAATCAACCTGAGACGATCCTATAAGACAGTTCAGATTGTATCAGTGGTGATGCTGCTGCAGCCACCCTAGGAGGAGCAGCGTCTGAGAGGCCCAAGTGGGTCAAGCAAGGCGGTGAGTGGTGCGGGGGGCGAGAGTGGCAGGAACTCATGGTCAGATCAGAGTTGATTAAAAAACCCTGAAGTTGATGCTAGTGATACGGTACTGGTACCGGTATGTGAGAAACAAGCCCTGGTACTGTATTTCACTGGAAAAACTATGGCCCCACAATCAGGGCAATGTCGATACGGTAGTGATTTGTTAGTCTATAAAAGCAACAAACACAACACTTTACAGATGCAGCTGGTGAATCCAACAGAATTGAGTGTGGATATGGTTAGTTAGCCAACAAGGGGGCAGGCTGCGGCGCACATGGGTGGTTGGCACGGCAACTGTTGCCTGCAGGGGAACCTGCTGGTGCATGCTATGGGGTGCAGTAGCGGCAGGTTAAATACTACACGGATGAATACAGCAGTGGTGCAGGGTTAGTAGTCACATGGGGGCGGCCCGCTGTTGCAGAGATCGACAAGAGCGGTGGCAGATAAGGGGGATGAGGAGGAGGAGGAGGAGGAGGAGGAGGAGGAGGAGGAGGAGGAGGAGGAGGAGGAGGAGGAGGAGGAGGAGGAGGAGGAGGAGGAGGAGGAGGAGGAGAAGGTAAACGGGTGTGGGGTGGGGGGGTGGGTGGGGGGGTGAAGGGCACATATGTTCACAAGGTGGCACGGCAGCTCTGCCGCTGCCTGGACACTGCTGCCTTGGATTATTCGTAAGCGGGTTAGAGGTGTAAGCTGGTTAGCGGGAGAGTGTGTATGGGCCAGCCTGCGCTGCTGCCGTGGTGCGCCCCTGGTCACGAGCCAGCTTGTGTGAGGCGAGGGCGGGCAGTGGCGGGGGAGGGCGGGGGCTCAGAGCAGCGGTCCTGTGCGAAGAGCACCTCCATGCAGAAGCTGCTGTCACACGCGCGCAGCAGCCGCCCCGTCGGCTTGTCCACCTCGCCCAGGGACAGCTGCTCCCGTGCAGGGGGGAGGGGTCGGCATGGGGTGGACGGGATAGTGGTGAGAGGCAGGTGGAGAGGGGGAGAGAAGGGGGAGGAGGGGAAAACTGGGTGGTTGTGAGACGAATGTTGGGGACAGACCAGCAGGCAGGTTGGAGAGAGGTGGAGAGGAAAAGAGCGCGTGGTGGGGGTTATGAGAGCAGGGGAGACGGAACATGAGCAGGGGAGACGGAACATGAGCAGGGGAGACGGAACATGAGCAGGGGAGACGGAACATGAGCAGGGGAGACGGAACATGAGCAGGGGAGACGGAACATGAGCAGGGGAGACGGAACATGAGCAGGGGAGACGGAACATGAGCAGGGGAGACGGAACATGAGCAGGGGAGACGGAGAGCGGTGGTGGGAGGTGGAGATGGAAAGGGGTGCATGCTGACCGAGAGGAGTCCCTTGGTGAAGGCGGTGTTGAAGCACACGGTGAAGAGGCGCGCCCCGATCTTGTCCGTGAACCTCATGCTCACATCGCCCTCCACCTGCCCGCACCCAGTGCAGCACGCACAGCAGGCAGCGCAGGGCAGAAAGTGGAGGGCGGAAAGAGGAGCGCGCAGGGCAGGCGTGAGAGGCTATACCAGGTACTTGCCCCAGATGTTCACTGAAGAAAGAGAGAGTCGAGATAGCGCAGAGCAGAGAGGCGAGAGCAGGGGGGCATACAGTGAAGGGCGGGTCGAAGCAGTGCTCGAGAGGTGGGTGGTGTGGGTCGGGTGGCCTCTCCGTGTCCAGCTGCGCCATGCACGCCCGCCCCCGCCCCTCCCCTGCTCTCCCCCCCTCGCCTCCTCTTGCCTCCCATGCCACTGCTGCCGCAGCAACGGGAGCAGCTGCAGCAGGGGGGGCAGAAGTAGCATCGGGAGCAGAAGCAGCAAGGGGAGCAGCAGCAGGAGCAGCAGCAGCAGCAGCAGCAGCAGCAGGGGAAGCAGCAGCAGCAGCAGCGGGAGCAGCAGCAGCAGCAGTAGCAGCGGGAGCAACAGCAGCAGCAGCAGCAGCGGGAGAAGCAGCAGGAGGGGGAACAGCAGCAGCAACGGAAGCAGCAGCAGCAGCGGGAGCAGCAGCAGCAGCGGGAGCAGCAGCAGCAGGGGAAGCAGCAGCAGCAGCAGGGGAAGCAGCAGCAGAAGGGGGAGCAGCAGCAGCAGCAGGTGGGCCGGGCAGCAAGTTGTTTCTGTCGAGGGCGAGTGTTTGGCGCAGGGCAGGGCGTGTGATGAGCCAGTGCACGAAGGTGGCGGTGGTGGTGCTCACCACGCCCATGCGCACCTTCTCACACGTGCCCCTGCACCGCTCCACTGCCGCACTGTACCGCTCCTTGTCCGCCTGCCATGCACACCACACACGCGCATTACAACACGCCCGGTAAGCTATGGACTCCCACAGCTGTTCCTTGACTCGATCCCCCCCATACGCAGCAGCAGTTGCACAGAGAAACCCAACGGTGCAACGTAGGAGGCATGATGAGCACGCGTGGAAGCCCAGCAGTGCATGGTGAGGCGAGCGGCATGAGAGCGGCACCTCATCGAGAGTGCAGATGACGAAGTCCACGCGCTCCAGCCCTGTCATGCCGTACACCCGCACGCGCCGTATGGTGCGCCGCGTGGGCGGTGGCAGCGTGATGGGCGCAGCGTTGAGGTGCGCGTCTGCCACGAGGCGCGCCCAGTAGCGCACGTACCGCACCTGGCTGGGGATGGTCACCTGCTCTCCGTGCCCCACATGGCATGGCAGGTCACGCCGGGGACAAGACGGATTATGAAGGGGGAAGGTAAGAGCGCAGCACAGGGAGTCGAACAGGGGCACGTGAAGCATGCTCGATACGACAACATTGTTTAAGTTGATGGGAAGCAGACGGAGAGAGGTTGGCCAGTCGTGCTTTGTCAAGCAGGTCAGCCTAAGCGTGTGAAGAGCGCGCGTGGCACGGAAGCGGGCGTACCCCGGCGCGGTTGAGGGTGCGGCGGTCGGCGTAGAGAGCGAGGGCGTCGTCCGTGGTCATGCCGGCCAGCAGCAGCAGGCAGCACACCATCACGCCCGTCCTGCCCTTGCCCGCCTGCACACGCGCGCCACGCACATGGGGTGGGTGGGGTTATGCACCGCTTGCTCTCGCCACCCGTCACGAGCTGAACGTCGCGCCAGTGGAGCGGCCACGCACGGCGGCATGGACAGTCACACGCGACACGCACGGAGAGCCACGCCCGCGACCAGTGGAGACCGCGAGTGCGCGTGTGTGTGTGTGCGCGCGTGCGCGGCACATTCGTGCGTGAGCCCGTGAGTGTGCGTGTGGGTGTGGGCGCGCGCGCCCTAGACAGAGCACGAGAAAGGGACGCACCACGGCAGGGACGGAGGGCGGAGAGGGAGAGAGAGCGGGAGGGGCACGGGCGGGAGTGCGGGGGGGAGCAGGCGGGGCGGGGCGGGGTGCGCACCTTGCAGTGCACGACGATGATGTTGTCGTGGCAGCGGTCCAGCCAGTCCTGCGCGCTCTCGCACAGCGCCCGCACCAGCTCCAGCGCCGGCACGCCGTGGTCGTCGAACGGAAACCGCTCCACGCGCCCGCCGAAGTACGACGGGTCGTACCACTGCTCCGAGCACAGGTTGTATACCTGCCCCGCCCCGACACGCCATGCCGTGCGCATGCCATGCCATTCCATGCCATGCCGCGCCGTGGCGTGCAAACACCGCAGCATGCAGCCGCGTAGGGGAGGTATTCATTAGCGCCGTGAATTGCACCCGCTACGTGGATCGCGACACTAATTTCGAGCAAGCCCGCAAAAGAGAACACTGGACGCACTTCAGTGGGCGGTGAAGTGAGACGGCGGCGCAAGGGAGGGGCGAAAAGGGGAAGGTTCGGGGAGAGCATGCAGAGGTGGGGCAAGGGGGGACGGGGAGGGCGCAGGGCGGGCGGAGCGGCACCTTGAAGTGGTGGGCGTGGTTGGCGGCGAGGAAGCGCTGCACCTGCCACATGGGGTTGCGGAACATGGCCTCGAGGCTCTCCGCGGGGTACGACATGGCCACCACGCGGTCCGTGATGTAACTCAGGTCCAGGTCGTAGCCGTCGCGGATGTAGCGCCGCCGCTTCATGGACACGAGGTGCCGGAGGTACTCCAACATTACTATTCATGGGGCGCCGCGCGACTCACTGCGACGCGACGGGCAGCTTCGATGGAGGAAGACGGAAGCAAGGCGATGGGTGGTGGGGAAGAAATCGGCGGGCGAGCTGGCTGTGTATCGAAACTAGGTTCGCTTGTGCCAGTCGTACTAGGTTGCTGTGGATCCAACCACTTGAGGCTCCGTGATGCAATTCAAAGTTCCCGAGTGGAGGAATGGCGGCAGTGGGGGTGTGAAATGCGAGGACGAGGTGTGGGCAAGGGCATACAAGTTGGTTGGGGCGGGTACGACAGGGAAGGAGGAGGGGGGAGGAGTTCGCGCTCCTCACCTCATGTGCGCGTCGTGGGGTGCGCCGGACCCCGAAAGACACCTTTGCGCCAGCCGTGCGCACTGATACATGTAGGAGGGTGGGGGGGATCGCGGAGAGCATTTCGCGGAACACAGTCACGATTCCAGACGCACAGCACGTGCGAAAACGCAAACGAACAATTTACAGGATCGAGTCGAGCGAAATTAATTCGTTTCATTTCGCCGTTCCACCAAGCAGCGAGAAGGTATTTTCCTTGCTTCTTGTCACCCTACCGCTATCGGTCCCGAGGACGCGGTAAAAGTAGGGCTGCGTTCTGCGGGCGCATTAGCCCGCATCACTGGTGCTGTTCGCCAGCACCTTTGAAGCCAAAACCCACGGGATAACAACGGGATCAGGAAGGTGGGTCTCGCCTTCCTGATCCCGTCAGTTTTGGCGTGTTGCAATTCCCAGTGCACTGCATTGGCTCGGCTCGAGTTGGCACGAGCCAGGTCGTGCCAGCCTCGCGCCTCGGGAACCTCGAAATTTCGTTATGAAATTCGAGGTAGTTGTGAAGCGATTTCCTGACAGATTGGCGAGGGCAGAGTGGCGGGTTGGCAGCGGGTGTTAATTTGCTGGCATGTGTCAGGTCGTGCTGGCTCGAGCCAAGGCGATGCAGTGCACTGACTCGGCTCGGGGCATGCCGTGCCAAGTCAGTGCACCGCATTCACTCGGCCTCCCGCTTGCCTGGAGCCTTCCAAAACCCGTGCCCCGAGCCGAGCCGATGCAGTGCACCGGGAATTGCAACACGCCGTTAGGGTTCGTTTACCTCCGTCAGCCTGGTCAGCCCGTAAAAAAGCTGCCGAGCCTCCCCTACCGTCCAAACCAAAAGCCAAAGTGGGGGTCTGGCGAACGCCCCCATTTGTCGATCAAATCGAACTGCTCGACGGCATATGGAAGCGGGGACGCAACTTCGTCCCCAGGCAAAAACCCTCCCCAAGCAATGCCATCGCCATCCCCCGTTTTTCAAAGGACAGCGATGGCACAGCCGTTGCATTGCTGTTCAGAGGGGAACCTCTGAACGAGCCATTTGTTTGACAAATGGGGGTTCGTATACCCCCCATTTTTCCCCTCCCGAACACACCTTCGATGTGCCCCCGACACATGACTTGGTCGAAATCGTTTTATTTGCGTTTTTTACCCACGTCGAGCACTTTTTGGCCCGCGGGGCTGTGGTCAGTGAAGCTAAGAGTTCGCGCCATTGGGGGGAAGGTGGGGATGGAGGTTCCCGATGCGGTTGCGTAATTTCGCCTTTCGGGCGCAGAAGTTTCTCGAGTGGCATTACGGCCCAAACCTCGGACGTGGATTCCGCCTCCGTTTCCAGATGCGTCGCGATGCCGATGCCATCTTTTTCATTTCAAATTACGATTTGCTGGCGAACAGCACCAATGTACATTGCAAATTTGTTTTTCGATTTTCCAGGAGCCTTCCTTGATAACCAGCCGAAAGGTTATCAAGGCTCACGATAAGCGCTTGGCTGCCGAGGCAAACTAAGCCCGAATGCCTGCAGAACGGTCTTTTTGGCAACCACAAATTTACTTGTCGCCGTTTTCTGATAAATTTATCGTTCTAACAATCTGACGCATCCTTGATGCGCGCATGATGCAACGCCGAGAAGACGCATGATGCGCGCATCATCTCGAATTGGGCAATTGAACAGCGCTTCATGCGTGTCGGGAAGGCGTCAGGTGCGTGCTTCCTTGCTTCGAAGAACCTTTAGCACAGTGGAATTCCTCGGAAAATTGAGATCGAGATTTGACATGCCCGAAATTCGAAATCTCCAATTTCCGATTCCCCGAACCTCAATCTCCATTTTCCGAACCTCTATTTTTCAATTTCAATTTCCTCATTCCCGAACCTCAATTTGTCAATGTGCGGATCAGGCCGAGCCTAGGGCGCATCAGAGCTGATGCGCCCGCAGAACGCAGCCTAGATGAACAGTCGCCTGATGCGATCGATGTGGAGATTGGTTACCCTATTCACCAGCACGTAACCATGCTTCATAGCCAATCTATCAAAAATTTGTTTCTTCTCTTTCTTATGCACTGCTTTCTGCCTCGTCCTCCATTGATGCGGGTCCGGTATCGCCGGGAGTTGAAGTTGAGGCGGTCGGCATGGCGAGGGTACGGCAGAGGCCGTCTTTCCCGGGTCGCTCAAGATACGTATCTTCAGGATGCGACCAAGTCGGCGATCCGTGGGGGTTGTTTTCAGCAGAAGCGTTGGAGTCGCCGATGTTTCCTTGTGATTCGAAGTTCAAGACGAAGACTCCGTTTTTGTCAACTACCTTTCCGATCCAAGTTCTTTTGTAGAAGAGCTCGAAACTTTTCTTCGCAGATGCTTCTGCGGAGAGTCACCCTACAACGGGAGTGGACTACGGAGGAGGGCACCGGGTTGTGCGGGTGATCGTAGCGCTCTAGTAGCGTTCTTACTACTTGCTGTGTTCACAAAGAAATTTGGCAAGAGTTTCCACTAAGAAATTGAAAAGAACTTTGAGAATAGAGTACAAAATGAGGCACGCAAGTCGATATGACTAGAATGGCATTGCAACCCCTACCAAGCATTCTGCAAGGCGAATTGCCAGCGCAGCATTAGAGCAATCGCCAACGCTGCAGCAGGGTGGCCTGCCAGCGTAGCAGAAGGGCGACGCGCCAACGCTGTAGCAGGGCAGCCTGCCAGCATTGCAGTCGCAGGTGAATATCTGCGCCTAGGTGCGCACCTACCAAGTAGGTGCACGTCGACGGTTACACCGTCAGGCACATTGCGCAGGTACCAGGCAGAAAACGTGCCGACGGTTTCACCAGATGTCCACCGTCGAGCACGTGATGCCGCTCCGCAGGTCGAGTTTCGCTAAACCTCCTCAGCAAAATTCGCATGCCCTCGCAGAGTTTCGCAGTCGCGTGTATCCGGCCGACCAGTTCGCCGAGGCGAGGCTCTCCGAACAGCGCCCTTCGATCAGAGAACGAGGCTCCTCGAAAGCACTCTGTCTGTCAGAGTTCGCGCGACTCACTAGCAGATCAGAGAATGAGCTCGTCGAACGACACCACGTCAATCAGAGCTTGTCAACGGGCTAGCCGACCAGAGGACTTGATCGTAAAAAACCACCCCTCATTTAGACGGGCTGATCAACAACCTCTGTTGTCTAAGCCAATTCGACGACCACTTCGTTTAATTCACCGTGTCGTCGCAGATAACTCTTGCGCCCAAGCGAGGGCGGGATCTTTCATTTCAACACTCCCCTTCCCAGCTCACGCTTGGGCACCCACACACAAGGTCCACCCAGAACCTAAGTAATAGATACAAGGGGTCTCTGGCATGCACACCCCCTCACGCCGATTACAGCACCAGCCATGTTAGAGAACATGGCACCTACTACTGCACGTCGTCGTCATCGCCGATGTCGGCAAGGCGAACTTGGCCGACTGCGACGGAGCATCAGTTGAAAGCCGGAAAGTGCAGCGCCTTTGTGAGGACGTCCGCCGGCTGCTAGGATGTCGGGGTGTATTCCAGCGCAATCTTCTTGCGCTTCACCATCTGCTGCAGCCAGGCGTAACGTCGCTCCGTGTGCTTGAGGTTGCCCTTCAGCCCCAAGCCCTCAGCGACCGCGATGGAGGATTGATTGTCCATGTTCTGAGCAGTCGGCGTCCCAGCGTCGAGGAGCTGGAACTCGGCGAGGAGGAATCAAAGTCGACGAGCTTCCTTGCCGGCTTCAGTGGCCGCGATGTACTCCGACTCCGTCGAGGACAGAGTTATGCACTTGATGCGTTGGCTCGTCCATGAGGTAGCTGACCGTGTCGTCGACGTGGTACTTCGTCATCAGAACCTAGCGGTTCTTCATGACATTGACGCCGCGCGGACGCTCGACCAGCTCTATGTGCCGTTGAAGATTAGACTTCGGATCTCCTCGTCCATGGCGGCCTTCACCACCTTGCCCTTCCACGGTCATGTTGGCGATGTCCCAGCGGTGCTCTAGGTCGGCGTGCATGTCGGGATCGAGTTCGGGCAAGTCGACGTCGAACTGCGCATCGTCGATCAGAGTGCTGTAGGAGGTCGGCGGCAGTCAAGCATGGTAGCGCAGCTTCTCGCGAGGCTTACCAAAGTTGGAGCGGGTGGAACGTCAAACTGCAGGTTTGTCGGCCAAGACTTCCACCACGTCGCTGTCGCTGGACTGCTCCCCGGTCGACAGCTCCCCGTCATCGCCGCCGATGACTTCAACAACGTCGCTCGATGTGCCATCGTCGAACTGTTCCCCTGTTGCCCGCTCCTCTGAAGTGAGCTCTTCGTTCAAAGGCTCCTTTGTCGACGGCTCCCGTGTCGAAGGCTCCCCTGTCGATGGCTCCTCTAAAACGCGCCCCCTGTATGACGGTTCACCTGTCGGTGGAAACTTCACTCCGACGCCGAGTTGCTCACTGACCAGATCACGTCGACCGCCAGCGATACTGATGGGTGGAGCCAAAGGCGATGCACCAATGCTCCCCTCATCGCTAGCGGCCGACGTCGATGCCGCCTTAGGCAGGCCGGGGGCGAGCGATGGGAGGGAGGTTGGAAGAGGCGGAAGAGGTTTCGACGAGGGCGGAATGGAGGGAGAGGGATCATCTGACAGACTGTCGTCCTCGGCAGCAAGCCCATGTTCCGCCTTCCTCTCCTCTAGAGACATTGT